ACACGTACTGGTGTAAGGTCCCGGACCGGTTGGGACTAGAACCGGCCGGTTCTCAAGACTAGATTGGATCCGTTATTTCTGGTTCGGGTTGAAGAAAGACGCCACACACCTCCCACACTGCCGCCGGTCCGGATTCGGTCATTCATGATTCGATCGTCTTCTTAATTATTACAGAGTATTTTTGCATCACAAGGTTATAAGTATGGATTTTACGTACATCATTATTGCGAGACCAGGTGACCAACGTACAACCAATGATCGATATTAGTAAGTAGTAACCAGTAACCATCTTTACTATCTACTAGTATAACAATTTACCATTTTTGTGAACCTTTTTTTTGGAACAATAGAGGGTTGTATGAGATTAACATGTGTACCTATTATTTTGAGAAAATAGTCCAACAATCTGTGCCTTGTGGTTTTTTTTGAGAAAATAGTCCAACAATCTGTTTGAGGTTTTTTACACAAAATTATACACAAAATATAGGACCATATTTTTTTTATCAAACTTGGATGGCCCGGTGGATCTACGCACCATATATATGATTGAAGAATTTATGAATCATAATCAGCAATACATACAAAGTACACATTAGTACATAATTAATTACCTTATAACGTCTGTTATATATCTGTAGTATATAAATATTAATTTATGATAAAATCATCTCAAATACTTACATTTTGGGCCATGGTCATTCAATTCCCAGCTTGTGCATCAATTCTTGCATTATGGCCTTGTATATTTGTGCACCTCTAAAGTACACCTTAGTGCCCTGGATTAATCAGATAATTACACTCTTAATTATTTAACTCATGTTGTTCAATTAGTATTATATAGAGTTATATAGAGTATTATTAGTAGAGAAGCATGCAGGCATGAATAATTAGTGTTATATAGAGTATACACTATAATAATAGTTTTAATTGGTAATAAATTAATAATTAAGTACGAAGTACTTCATAATATATATGCATTCTAAATTGTACTCGTAAACTTGTTGCGAGTCTGATGTGAAAGATGAACCATCACAGTACCGCAGCACAGCTCTATTCCAGTTGAAAAAATCTATCAATTGAAAAGTCACAACATAAATTGTTAGTCTAGCTCATTATTAAATAACACGAATGAATGAAAGGGATATGATAATTAAATTACATTCATTAATTTCTCTGTTACTTCGTATTATTTAGTTGCAAGAGTCAGATAGACTTCACATTTACAAAAAACGTACTGCTTGATCTCTAATTTATTTAATTGTCCACTAGTGATAATTATTTATAAAAGACTGTGTTCACATTATTTGTTCATATATTCATAGTTAAAAGAGTGGTCCAAATAGATTATTCGTCATAATCAAAGAACTAGCAATAAACAACTAGTTACCTGGATTGTCTTCCTTCTTGTTGCCGAGTATGTATTGAAAGGGGTATGGCTTAGGATCAAGGGAAAGATTTCGGCTCTGAGCATATGCAGTGGCACAATACTCTACGGAGTCACACCATGCTCCTCCCTGGATTCAACCGGCCAGGTAATTAAATCAATTATATTAATTGAATTATTTATAAATTAAACATGTGGTTGATTAGCATATATATACTTCTAAGTTCTAAGTACTTGGACATGTAGTACATATATAATTATCTTACTTTTTAGGTTAATTATCGATCTAGGATTATATATATTTACCTGAAGATACACTAGTCAATTGCGTGATCCTGTACCAAATCCATGATCAAAGTAATATGAAGTTGGCTTTCCGGTCAATCAAACTTGAAATTAAACAACAAATTAAATCATTATTTTTCATAAGTTGTGCTACCTGTGGTGGTTTATGCAAATACGTAAATGAAGAAAATATGGCTATTCAAAAAATTAAGAAGTTTAAATAAATATAATGTTTAATTACTCGCTCCAGGATGGATACAAGAGTGGCGTTAATATAGTAATCATCATTGCCTGAAAATAAGAAATTCGTTATTGAATTGTTAAATACTCCGTACTTAAATATCACAAAATTTAAATAAAAAAAAGAACTAATCACTAATAAGGCACCTAAAATTCCACAAATACGTGAGAAAGATAAAGTAAAAGATATACTACGTATATAATTGGACAACATAAATATAAACGGAGTATTTAATTATTACCATCGCATTTGATCAGCAGAAAACAGACAACGAACTCCGAACATAAAATTGCAAAAAGTGACATTTTGATTTGAGCTGAGCTGATGAAATGAGATGATGAAACGACATATTCAAGCTATAGGAAGTGATAGAAATATTTAAGTTGAGGGAGTAGACGAGTAGTATATATATACAGAAGATTCATGAACGCGGTGACACGCATCACACATGACACATGCATGAAATTAATGTAGGAGGATGATACTCCATCATACCCTACGTACGTCATATATTAAAGAGGTGAGAGATGTTAATGGCCGTAGCTCAACTGGTAGATAGATAGTGTCGTCATGAGGCATCAGTCTGGGATTCAATTCTCGATAATTGCACTTAGAGGTTAGTATATACGAAGTATATAAACATGCATTGAACTTCTGCAAGTACATGAGTCAGAGTGTTACTCTATGCCCTCGTTTGGTTTTCAGCGGTTTGATACCAAATCGCTGCTAAATGCAGCGTTTGCAAGTATAAAACAATTGGTGGTTTGTTGAAAACGCTATTAACCAAACGGGTCCAATGTGTCAGACTGTCAGCTTGTAATTAATTAAAGTTACATTTCTGACTAAATTGACAGATATTAGTGTAAAAGATCATTTTAACGACTTTTAATATTACATGTTTTTTACCATTCAGCCAATTCAATTGTTTCAATCAATTTCGATCAATATTACTAAATTGATTCAAAATCTGCAAATTTCAATTTCATTGGAACGGATGACGAACTATTTTGAAGTACTTCCATCTCATTCTCTCCATGCGAGTCACATCAACTATTAAAAGAGAAAACAAAAGTGCATGTTAAATTATTTAAATTTGGCCGATCAGATGATGGATGTAGTTCATTCAATGAAAGCGAACTGAAGGTCATAAACCACCAATGACACCATCACTTTCTTTTTAAAGGTAAACTTGATGCCCATCCCGGCCTATAGATATTTCCTTTCTATTCTCATATCCTCTGTCGTACTTTAACCCACTACACGAACAGATGAGTAGATTCATCCAAAAAAACGAACAGATGAGTAGTTATTAGGGTATGCAGCTAGATTCGAAAAATCTTACACCTCAGCCTTAATTATGTGACTCGATTAATATGAGTCTCCATGAGTTCCTCAAATATGAGATTAAGGGTTAAGGATGTTTTCTTTTGGACTGAAATTTGCTGGTCTGGTCTGGTCTGGTCTGTTTAAGTCTGATCTGGTCTAAACTGGTCTGGTCTGGTAAACGTCTGTATTTTATAACCACGGAAGTCTGATCTGGTCTGGTCTGGTCTGTTTAAGTCTGGTCTGGTCTGGTCTGTGATTGAAAACAGTCCAAAAGAAAACATTCTAAGTACAAAAGAAAACATCCTAAGTACCTCAAGGGAGTTGAGCTACGCTATTTAAGAAAATCCTATTAAATTTACTTTAACTATGTCATCGAGTTAATGCATGTTCTAAGGTGTACTATATGGAGAGAGTAAAGGGTCAGTTTGGTCCTCAAAGTTGCAAAAAAGGCGTCAAATAAGTCCTTATATAGAAGATTCTGTCCGGACGTGCCATTTGAGGTGGCTCCCGGTGGAATTTTGTGATACATTTTTTTGAGCATCTTATTTATTAAGTCTAGTTTACTCATACCAAATTTCAGCTAAAAATTCAACCGGGAAGACATTCAAATGAATTCTTGAAGATAATAGCGCTTTTAACGGCACAGTTATCTTCAAAAATTCATTTGAATGTCTTCCCGATTGAAGTTTTATCTAAATTTTGGTATGAGTAAACTAGACTTAATGAATAAGATGCTAAAAAAATTTCATCAAAAAATTCCACCGGGAGCCACCTCAAATGGCACGTCCGGACAGAATCTTCTATTAAGGACTTATTTGACCCCTTTTTTGCAACTTTGAGGACCAAACTGACCCTTATCCCTATATGGAGACAACACGATCAAACCTTAAACCTCTAGAACTTAGGTGGGTTAGACGGACTTAGACGTGAAAATGTTTTTTTTTATCGTTTATTTAGTTTTCCTAGAGTTATTTTTAATATTTCAGTTTAATACTTCATACGTTCCAAATTGATTGGCAAAATCAACATTTTTGGTTAATTAATGTTAAAATTAAATCCTCCTTATTAATAATTAATTGTAGCTTTTAATAATTAAAATTTACTTATTCGAAAATTACATTAAAGTCTTTTCAAAGTTGCAAGATCCCATTAGAATATAATTAAAAATTGACATTCAAATTAAGTGATTAAAACGAAATTGTTTGATCAATAAATAGTCAATTTTACAAATCAATTAGGAACGAATATAGTATTAGATAATGTTATTCAAAAAAATCATACTTTTTGCATTTTAAAAAATGCACGGACACGTCTATCGAAAGTGTTTATTATATTGTTCGTACTTACAACACGTACTTACAACACACATGAATAATAACAACACATGTCACTATTAAATGATGGGCGTGTTCCACCACCCACCAATCCTTTTCATGACTGTTGTCCGAATGTTAGAAATTTGGGAGAAGATGCTTTGGTATTGGGTGGATCACTAGAATGGTAAATTAGGATATTATGAGTATATATGGATGTTCAACGATGCGTGAGTTGTTGAGCCATGGAGCAGTACACCGCAAAATTAGACTTTCACACTTAAAACAAACTAACATGTGAACATTAAACAACACACATGCATTTATGCGTGATTGTGTATGCTAAGAACCCGTGATATATGTATATTAATTAGTGAGATTTCAGTCAAAAAAAAAATAGTGAGATTGGTCCAAAAAGGAACTCCAAAATCACCATAAATTGCTTAGTCTACTAAATTCGAGTTAATTTATTCATATAACCACATATTTTTTCATGCATATGACCATCTAGCAGCTAGTTCAGAAAAAATCTGTATAGTCCACACTTAATGACAAAATATTACTCCCTCCGGTTTTTAATAAACTTCACACTTTCCTTTTTGGGACAGTCTAAAATACACTTCACACTTTCTTATTTCCTTTTTTGGCAAAGAAATCAACATCAAAACAGTGTCAAACAGTGCCAAACAGTGTCTCAACAGTGCCAAACAGAGTCTCAACAGTGCCAAACAGTATCAAACAGTGCCTCAACAGTTTACTCTACAATAAAGTCAAATTTCTTTCCTTATTTTGTGTGAAGTCAAAGTGTGAAGATTAAATAAAACCGGAGGGAGTACTACACTAACAATCTAATTTACAAGCAAATTAAGCAAAAGGATAAATACAAGCCATCCGCAAATAGCACCCGGCGCCTTATCAATAGCTCGACTGTTGTTTTGGGCCAAGCTTCGGGAACAGTACGTTATATGGACATGCGTATTTATCGATCACATAAACACTTCTCCGATCCGATCAAAATACTAGTCTCCAAATAGCTTGGAAATTGTCTACAAAAATTCATAAAACAGATCACATCATTCATCAGTCATTGAAATGTAAATGCTAAAAAAACATAAAAAAATATAAATACATGACTTATAAGACGACACTAAAGAAATTGAATAAATCTTTCATTAATTATAGCTAGTTAAGTCGATGGGAACCATGATTTTTATTAGTACTCGCTCCCTATTTATTTGAATGCAACATATTCAATTTTTGAAATTTATTTAGTCATAACTTTACGTATCATTTTCCTAGTTTAATAAGTTTTTAATTACAAATACATAAATATTGTTTCTGCTTTAATTTACCTACATTTTCATCTTCAATTCTTTTTCATACTTCGTATATACTATCGTACTTCTTATCTGATCTTTCTCTAGCCAACTTGTATTAGACTATTAGTTTATGTAGTAAGGAATTGTGCATAAATTGTATAGAACAAATTAAATACCTCATTGCTCCCATATATCAACGACCATGTCCATATTCCATTGACTGTTGTTCATGAATTGTTGGGGAGGTGATCAATAACCCTCTTGGTAAGGTGCTATTTGCTTTAGGCAAAACGCTCAGGAATTCTAATCTAAGATCTGAAAGGAAAATAGTATACAAATAAACATCAATATACCCAAACACTATATTGACAAAAATTAAGTTTTTATTAATTGAGTGCAGTTTTAAGTTATTTATATACTTCTTTAAATGCTTGAAAAATAATAAGCTTATTATTAAAGAAATCTAAGTTTAATACGTAGTAGTTTATACTACTCTACGTACATAACACAAATTAAAATGTCAAATATGACAAATCTTTGTTGACATGAAGGTGATCTTTTATTTTGGAAAAATTAGAAATACATACAATACCTTTAAAATAAAAACTAAAAACTTTTTTCAAAATAAATAAACAAAACGGATTTGTAATTCTGTATATATAAAAGCATTTGGCAATACAAACCTTGTAAAGTCTTAATAATATCATCTGATTGGAGACATTCTTTTATTGTAGTATTACCCGGAAAAGTCCACTGCACGTGACCTGAAATCAATTGATTTCACGTTTATTTAAGTATACCATAGATAAAAAAAAAAGCACATTTCCAAGTACGTAACACACATGCATGCTTCTGCGTAGAGAGCTGTTTTATTGAGATCAGTTTTTATTAGCAATGGCAATGGGGCGGATCGGGGACGGGTACACATAAAACCGAAACCGCTCCGTTGGATAAATGTTTGCCCCAAAACCGCCTCATTACCCGTTCGGATAATTTTTATTTGAACCGTACCCGCCCCAACGGAGAATCGGTTTATCCACGGGTAACCGTTTCCCCAAATGATACCAAATAACCATTTTTTTTAAAAATCAAATAACCAATTTCTAATCCTACTTGTTATTTATATATTCAAAGCACCCTAAAACATACAAAAGTAAATATTTAAACAATCAAGTAGACTGATCTAAATTCATTAGTATGAAACTATGACATGCATCTAATATCTCTTGTAACATAATAAAAAAAATAGTAATCATCCTAGAATCCAAATTCTAAAAACAGGTTTAGGCCTATATTTAGTTTTAGGTCTAAAAAGTAGTATACTTTTTAGTATTATTTATACTCTGTATGATATACTCCGTATACTACTTAGTTACACAATTTAGCTTATATACTTATTATTCTTATATATAAAAAGTTATAATTCATTAATAATGTTACCGATCAAGTAACGGTGCGGGTACCCGCACCATTAGTGAACGGGGCGGTTTCGGGGCAGATAATGGAGCGGATTAGTATAGAACCATAACCGCACCATTAACCATTTAAAAAATTCAGGTATTCCCCGCCCCATACCCTTTCCCCAATCAAATCGGTTTTCCCCAATTTGACCACATCGGTTCGGTGCGGGTATCCAACGGGTCGGCCGAAATTGCCATCTCTAGTTTTTATATTCCATGCATATTTTGTAGCACTTATATATCAAATATTCCAGTCCCAAAATGATAGTGTAACACATTTTGGACTAAAAAGTGTGCCAATTATGATTAATTGGCAACTTCACCCCGAGTCATTGCTTTTTCCAAATATGGGTGGGAAGAATAGGGTAAAAAGTAAATTAGTAAATCTGAAATGGAAAGAAGCTAAGGTTAAAATAAGAATTTGCACCAAAAGTATACACCAAAAATGTTGAATTTCAATTTATAACGATAGTTCAAAATGGTACGTGTAACTTTCATTTTGATAAGAGTGCCAAATCTACAAACTCAATAGAGTGGAGCTGACGTACCTGAACGGTATCAAAAGAAGACATTAAGAAGAAGATCGGCGTTTTAATATGTTCCTGCACGGTTTGAGCGAAGAAACACTGCAAAAAGCCACAAAGATCAATTACAATATTTTTCATAATATAATACAGAGTAATACAATACTTTAATACATTAATCAATAAAATATTATTAAAGTTGAATAATATATAAATGCTGGAAATTCATATTGTTGCAATAATAACTAATAAAGAAAGTAAGTTCGTAGTACAAATTAAAAAAAATGAAACTTTTTCTGTATTCGTTTTCAGAAGCTTTGAAGACATAAAATGGATGCAACACATTTGTTGAGCTATTTGTCACACATTGGTAAAATATACGTACTACATTAATTAGTGATTAAACTAGTACGGAGTACATAGTACTCGTATATAAGTTCATTGAGGCTTCAAATATGGAACCTATATCTCAACATGTTATACTCCTTCCGAAAAGATTCACCAAATTGACTTTTCTTGATCAATTGCAATTAAATTTGACCAATGATATTTTTTAATTAGTACGAAACTACTTTGAACATGAAAACTTATCAAAATGTTCCTTATTCAAGATATCTTCACAAAGGTACAAAATTTATAAATTATATACAAATATAATAATTAAAATCATTATATAAAGTTTATCATCATTTCAAGAAAAGTCGATATAATAAAATGAGGTACTTCTTTCTTTATAATTTAAAATAATTGTTACTTAAAAAATGCCTATCGCTTCATTACCAAATGTGGACTTAGTCTTGACGTGCATGCCTCCGGCAACGCCTTTATTGATCCCTGCGTACGTCATACCATATAAACCATTTATAGCTCTCTTCTGATTCAAATATCCAAAAGAAACTTACTGATAATTAATAGACTAATAAATACGAAGTACGAACTAAGTGCCGTACCGCTGAAATAACATGAAAAGGAATAGGCAAGATGAAATTAAAAGGAGTAAGAAAGAAGCTAAGAATAGTATGCATTAACTACGTACAAAAGCCATCAGTTTTTCAAAGGTTGGCGTAAAAGTTTCCCCGGCGAACTTTTTGCTGCAAGAAATCAAATGACAATAAACACACATAAATATTTAATTAAGATCCTTGATATAGTGGGTCTACTATATTTCTATTAAGAATTTGTTCCTGTCACGTTTCATCTCATACTTAAATAACAACTTCAAATAAGAAATGAAATTAAATACTATATGTACATAGTATATTATATTAGGGACTATAAAAAATACAAAATTCTTACGAAGGGAAAAAATATCCCGCATCCGAAAAGCATTTTACTCTCGTCGCATTAGGTAGGAGATCACGGAATCCGTCGCAGTGAAGTGTAACTGCAACTCCTCCGGCCGAGCCACCGACTAGGAGAGCCTACAATAATAATGATATAATTAATGATGGATTACATATCTATAGATTAGTTGCACAAATTTAAACCTTAAATAGTTAAATATTAGTACACATTTCATTACTACTATATACTTCTATGTTCTAATACTCATATTTAATTTGGTCCCACATATGAGATAGAATGCACACTTATTTCTTAAATTTTAGCACTTTCAAACTACTCGTAATAGTTATAGCTAGGTACGAGTGCTTTAAACTATCTTTCACGTCAGGGGCAGATCCAGGAATTTGGGTTACCCTGGGCTAAAGTGAAATTATACTAGACTTAAATATTGGCGGGGTGGGCTAAATACAAAAAATTAAAAAATTTACACTAGAAAAGTTGAAAAAATTTTAAACTGCCCTGGGCTTCAGCCACCATAGCATGTACATAGATCCTCCCCTGTTTCACGTATTATTGTTTATTACATTTTAACTAATTAATTAAATAAAAATTACTTCTTCACAAAAGTACAAAACACCGTACTTTAATTTACTTTTTCAACAACTTCCAATTTTAGTACGTAGTATGATTGTATGAAGTATAATTAAGTTAGTTTCAATTTGTTGTAGCCTTACACAGTGAAGTATATATATTACGAGCATTTTACTAGGAAGTAGGAACATGACGTAAAGCTAATTAAATAATTACTCTTTTTACGAAGCTTCAATTGTTTATTTACACTAAATATTCAAATGCTTACATTTTCCGCCATTTCCATCCCCAGCGTGTGAAGCACCTCTTGCATCACCGCCTTGTAAATCCGCGCTCCCCTAAAATAGAGCTTGGTGCCCTAAGTACATTTAAAAAAATTACAATTTTGTTTAAATGGGTCATTTAAGTACACACTACAAGAAATTAAAATTTAGTCACGGGCTAGTGTAATAATTATAAATAATTAAATACGGATTACATAAATTAATAATATGTAGTACTAGTAAATACTATGAACCATACATACATTGGACTCATAAGTTCTGTCCGAATCCGATGTGAACGATGAGCCATCACAATATCGGACCACAACCTTATTCCAGTTGAAGAAATCTAATAATTGAAAATTGTCACATGATTATCTGTTAGCGCGTTATGTAGTTAATAAAGCATATGAAATGAATTTAACTACTATGAGTAATAATTAATATTTATATATTTAATGACCTGGGTTTTCTTTTTTCTTGTGGCTGAGTATATCAGCAAATGAGTACGGTGGTGCATCTAATGTAATATTTCTACCCTGAGCATAGGTGACACAATACTCAAGATTGTTGCACCAAGCTCCTCCCTGAATCCAAATAGCCAAATGAATTCAAGAAATGATATATTCATAAGTAAAATTATACAGAGCATTTAAATAGAATAAAGATCAAATACAAAACATGCTTAATTTACAAAGTACAAACTTATCTTGGCCATTCGATGAGTTGATCTAAAGGATATAAAGACAAGGTGACATTTTTGTAATAAAACATAATTTTCTAGGGTGCAACTCGTTGAACGTTAATGTGCAACTGCTATTTTATGACTATATAATATGCAACACTTTGAACCTCAATATGCAATGCAATTCATGTCAAGGTGCATCGTACAAACATTTGCACAATAAGCACAATTTGTATTTGATCTTTCCCTCATTTAAATATATACAAATAATTTATAACATATATCTCATACATGTACTACGTACGGTACAAAATACTTATGTTTAGCTAGTGTAGTCGATCATTCAAGATTATATTTACCGGAAGATAGACCATCCAGTTACGCATTCCGCTTCCCTGTCCACGGTCAAAGTAATACGCCGCGGGCTTTCCAGTCAAACAAACTTCAAAAAAAAAGTGAACCCATAGAAGTTGTGTTATGTCCATCTATTAACAACTTGCACATATGCGTAACAAGATGGAGTAGTTATTCAATATATATATAAGTAAAACACATAAACAAATAGTAAAACATTACCGGCTCCCGGATCATTGCGGACAACCGTGGCATTGACATAGTAATCATTACCACCTAAAAATACGAAAATGATCATTGTTAGTTAACACGAAATTAACAGTGAGAAACTAAGCACTAGTAAGTATATATATTAATTAATCAAGCCACGCACCTAAAATTCCACAACTGTATACGTGAGAAAGATAAAAGAAAAATGTATAATTGGCCTTGGCACCATAAATAATTACTCCGTATATAAAGTTACCATTGCATTTGATGAAGAGAAAGCAGAAAAACAACAACGATCCTAGGGAGTGTTTGCAATTGCTTCAACTCTAAAGAAGTGATTTTTTAAAGTGATTTTGGGAAAAGTGATTAATAGTAAAAGTTGGTAGTGTTTGAGGAAAAAGTGATTCTGAAAAAGTAAAAGTTGGTAGTGTTTGGTTAAATAAGTACTTTTTGTGTAATAGAAAAAGTGAAAAGCAGTTTAAAGCACCCTTCCATCTGCTTCCAGCTTTTAACTTTTAAGTGATTAATTTAAGCAGAAGCTGTCATTTGAAAACACTCTTTTTAATTTTTTTAAGCCAAAAGCTGAAAAGCGCTTTTTTTAATCAACCCCAAACACTCCCCTAATATTGCAATGAGAGACATCTTCAACCCACGCACTTTTTGGAAGAAATTAGAACGTAACTCACTACCTAGAGATTTGTTTGGTTTCGAAGGAAATTAGAACTGATCACTGGAGATTCGTTTGGTTTGAGGCCGGGTTTAAGTAGGTGAGCTAGCTGAAGGAATGATATATAGGTGGAGGTTACAAGGTTAGGGAGTATGGCAGCTAGTACATGTAGACGCATGAATTTATGAAGTATGGAACTTAGGATGATGATGGATATCTATGCATATACTAGTATGCCATTGTCATGGAAGTGTTGAGTGGGAATTGAATACAAAGTGGTTGAATTGGTAGTTTTAAATTTCAATTCAATGTTGCTAAAGATTACTAACGGCGTAGTGTATATAAAAACATATAGAACCTGTTGTTAATATATTTGTTTTGGAAGGAAAAGCTATAAAACCGACTTCACATTTTAGTTAGAATGTAACATGCATCGGGTCTTAAAATGGTACTCCATATAAGAGATCGACAAGTTTTGTTGTGATTTGACGGCTTGTTTAACACTCATGATTATAATTCAGGGTAGCTTATTAAGGGCCCATTTATACACCCCAATATTTGTCTAGTTCAGTTCGAGTCGGTTCAGATTGAGGAAGCGTGTTAAAATATTTATCCCACACCGGAAGACTATAAAGTGCACATTTTTTAGATAAGAGTATATTGGTCATTAAACATTTTAATATGGACGAATTTTTTTTCTTCTTTCTTGTTTTAGTCATACAAATGTCTTAAACCATAGGTAATAATATTAAGGGAAACTCAATACATTTTGGTCATATACTCAAATCCTAGGAAATTTCAAAAATTAAAGGCATTTGTTAAATATATATATACATATATAGTATATATATATGTGTGCGTAAATATATGTACACACATACATACATACATACATACATACATACATATATATATATATATTTGAAGCGCGGTGAGTTACAAATTTACTATACATACCATCACATCTTGTGAGAAAAAAGCCAGCAAACAGTAGAATGAGAGAGACGGAGAAAGTGGAGACGATCAAGAATCCCATTTTGAATGAGCTAAGCGCCTAAGCTAGAGATGATGTAAGTGGAGAGAAATTTTAGTATTGTAAATCTAAGCTTGCCAGTGGAGTCGGGGGAGTAGCAAATACTCAAATATATAGCAAACTAATGAGCTAGCTAGCAATATACATATATATATACAATGTTGTGATTTCTTGTTTCTAGACTTCCGTTTGAATTGAGGTTTGTTGAGCCAATAAATTAAATGCATACTCCGTATTTAATTTCTTAATGCTATATATGTAAACGTACGTACTGATGTTCCATCATTTTCTTTTCAAGTATAAGGATGTTTTCTTTTGGACTGAAATTTGTTGGTCTGGTCTGGTCTGGTCTGGTCTGGTCTGATCTGGTCTGGTCTGTTTAAGTCTGGTTTGGTCTGGTTTGGTCTGGTTTGGTCTGAACTAGTCTGGTCTGGTCTGGTAAACGTCTGGTCTCTGTATATTTTATAACTATCCAAGTCTGGTCTGGTCTGGTTTGTTTAAGTCTGGTCTGGTCTGGTCTATTTAAGTCTGGTCTGGTCTGATCTGGTCTGGTCTGGGACTGAAAACAGTCCAAAAGAAAACATCCTAAGTGCCCATTCTCTCATCATTATCTTTAATTTCGTGTACGTATTCCAATACCGCAAACTCGTGCTCCCTAATCCGTATAATATAACCCCCACAAATAAATACCGAATATAGTAAAAGTAACCGCAAATTTTAATTCAGTTTTTCTCTACAAACCAACACCACAAATCTTGATTGATCGAGCAATGTTTTTTTTAAAATTTGCTACTTTTTCCTATTTACGATGTATATAAAAGTTTGCTACATTTTTTTTTTATAACTTTTTATTTTGAAATATTCAACTATTTTTACTTTTTCTATTTTTTATCTTTTCTTTCTTACTTTATACATTATCTTATATTTTTTTTATAGTATTCATTGCTCCTATTATTTCTCTTTTACATGTTTGCAAATAAAAATAAGAGAACAAATAAAAAAAGTTACACTTAAAATATCCATACGTCCTAGCTAGTTAGGATAGTACTCCCTCCGCCCCCCTAAGATTGTCCCGTTTTACCTTTTTTGTCCGTCTCATTAAGTTTGTCTGATACCATATTAGGTAATGTTTGAGTGGTTAGAATTCATTCTTACTTTATTCACACATTATCAATTCAATACCAACCACACAATTCTACTTTTTCTTAAAAACCGCACCACACCCCTTAATTTGTCCCAAACTTAGGGGGGCGGAGGTACTATTTTTTTTAGGATAGTATTTGTCCTATGCATGGATCCCGCGTATGGGTGCCCCATGGCCTGTCCCTTCTGGCTTTCATGTGTGCTGGCCGTTTTGGGTTAATGCAGGGTGGTAAATATTTACTCTTTCTTTAATTCTTGCAACATTGTGATTTTTGCATTATTTACATATCTTATTTTGATCACGATTTTCTACTAATATACATAATCAAATTATTACGTAAAAATGTTATTGAATTCCTATCAATGTGAATTTCCAAAAAAACAACTTTTAATAATATTTACTAATACATAATTAAATATAATAACAGTCAAAATTGTGCGTTGATAAACGTGAAAGTCAAATCGGTGCAAGAATGAAAGAACGAAGGATAATACGGAGTATGCCACTGTGACATTGTCCCCCATTGACACTCTCATGTAGTACTGTAGTAGCAGTACCTGGTACAAATTTATTTAAGGGGTTGCAGTAAAAATGAGGGTGAAAGTTTAAAATTGGCTTTTCACCCCACGTGTTATGTTGGGTAGTTACAATAGTTGTTTGGCATGAGGGCTCACTTTTATAGGGCCCGAAGAATTATAGGAGTAGTAATTATAGGTTGATTTTTAGATGTTAATTATTTGAGATTGCAAAGGATGTATAATTTTTAGGAAAAATTGACTGGAATAATCCCAACTATGTGTCGTCCGCTTCTAATAATCCCTACTATGTATTATATCTGATTAATCCCTACTTTGGGGGTTGTCTTCCATTATTAAACCACGGTGACTGGGCACCGGTTGAGACGGTAAAATTTAAAAAAAAACGATACATCAGGTGCCTTATCCTCATCCGCGCTTGAGGCTGAAACCTAAATGCATTCTGAGTAACATGTGAGTCTTCCTCTTCTTGAAATCAAAATCATAAATGTCCTGTTAAATGTGAATCTCTTCACTGTGAATCTTGTGTACATATTTCTGGCTTTCAATCGCACACCTAACCCGTTTCTTTGTGAAGGGAAGAAGCTCAAAGGCAGGAAACACAGTCGTGAAAGGAAGAAAGCTGAAGGTTAAACTGATTTTTTTTAAGAACTAAAGACTTTTCCCCATAAATTCTGAACAAGGCCATTCATACAATGTTAACACAATAATAAGTTCATATGGTACATTTCTCCTTTCAACTCTATTACGTCTAGTTGTCAATGAGAGAACTTAGAGAAGCTGGTGTGTTACATCTTGACTGATATAACACACCCGGTAAATCGTATGACTTTTTGAATTAGTTTTTACTGGAATGGCGTAGAGTTGCAATTCAATTTGTATTGTATGATTAATTGAGTTTTAATTGAGTTGTTCTGTGATAGTAAAAAATGGTTGTACGGTGTGTATATCTAGGGTTATATTATTGACTTCATTTAGGGAAATTACTTGAAATTGCAGTTCTTTGTAGTCTTTTATTTACACATGCATAGTGTGTTTGTTACAAAAAAAGTGTTTTTTTGTATAATTCTATACATTACAGTGTACTGCCTTTTGGTGTTTTAATTTAGGTTTTAAGTCAAAAGAAAAGGGAATGAATTGTAATACTGTGGTTACATTGAAGATGTTGTGGTTACATTGAAGATGTGGGCATGTGGCATGGAGGTACATTCAAGAAGAATGATATAGGACAATTAGGGTATGCAGGGGGTGAGTTTAGATGTTTTGAACCGGATGCGGATGGGTAATTCATGGGAGGGGGAAAGCAGGGGTGGCAGCAGATTGGTTAGAGGTGGAGAAGCAAGAGGCTCACAAGGAAGAGGACGGGAAAAACTTCCAATGGGATATGGTGTAATTATTGATGACCAGGGACATAGTTGGAGTAATGTAAGAAAATATCATTACTTTTTAAATTCATTATATGACCATTACATATAAATAATTTTTCTAACTTCACATATTTATTGACAAAGTCCTGGACAACATGGAGGGCCAAGAAGTCTATCATGAAGTGTGTGTTGATTATAAGCAATGGGCCAAGAAGTGTATCAGCTGCAGCCACTGTGGGACTGAAGATTGATAAAATGTTTTGTTTTTCAGTCCAATACTTTGGAAAGTGGGACTTTGTAAAACTAATTATGAAACATGTCTGTCATGCTTTCTTGTAGTTGACTATATGTAGTATTTCACTGGTTTGACAGAATTTGAATCTATGTGGTAATATGTTATGTAATGCACCGATTCTGAATATGGTTTATCAATGGTGGTTTTAAAAAACATAAAGTTTGTGTGTGGTTAATATCAAACAATGTGCATCAGGTTTGTTGTCCACTTTTGGGAGTGATCAAGTTTACTTTGCAGTGCTGATTATTACTTTTTCATTTGGTTTTCATTTGGTTTTATTTGGTTATTTCATATTTATTAGAGTTGCTTTTCATTTGGGTTTTTCAGTGGTTTTCATTTGGTTTATGCATTGGTTATTTCAGATTTAATACATTTGGTTTTAATTTGGTTTTAAGTTGGTTTTAATTTGGTTTTCAGTGTGATAATTTCAGATATAATACAATTGATTTTCAGTTGGTTTTCACTTGGTTTTAAGTTGGTTTTTAGTGTGGTTATTTCAGATTAAATACACTTGATTTTCAGTTGGTTTTCACTTGGTTTTAAGTTGATTTTTAGTGTGGTTACTTCTGATTGAATACAGTTCATTCTCAGTTGGTTTTCATTAGGTTTTCAGTTGGTTTTGACTTGGTTTTCAGTGTGGTGATTTCAGATTTAGTTAATTAGTCTTCCTTGTAAAGTTTTTGGTAATTTTGCCACTGAAATGTTCAACTCTATACAGCATAAAGATGTAAAGCACTTGGATAAACCTGCTGCTGAAACCTGCACTTTTATGCAGGCTATAATTATACTTTTGGTTGAGTTATTAACTGATGAAACATGGCTACTTTGACAGCCTGAAACTATATACCTTAAAATGAAACAATGAGTTCGAGATTTGATTTCCACTTTTGGAAGTGAGCAGGTTTACTTTGGAGTGGTGATAGCAAATTTTCACAAACCTTTTCAGTTGGTTTTGAGTAGTAATAAGTCATACATTTTCAGCTGGTTTTGAATGTACTAGTTTCAGATTTAAGAGTGGTGATAACACATACATTTTCACAATTATATAACAATTTGGTAACAGTATTGGAACCACCAACTGGTCTAGCTTATACAAATCAAATGAGTGAATCTCAAATCCGGTTTGATTTGAATCTCAAAACTATATACCTTAAAATCAAACAATGAGTTTGAGATTTGATTTCCACTTTTGGAAGTGAGCAGGTTTACTTTGGAGTGGTGATAGCAAATTTTCACAAACCTTTTCAGTTGGTTTTGAGTACTAATAAGTCATACATTTTCAGCTGGTTTTGAATGTGCTAGTTTCAGATTTAAGAGTGGTGATAACATATACATTTTCACAATTATACAACAATTTGGTAATAGTATTGGAAACACCAACTGGTCTAGCTTATACTGTAACACCGTCCCCAAAAAGTATTTACTTTTAAGTAAATAATGTATTGAACTTATGGAATGGTTAACGAGTATTCGAAGTTGTGAATTTTTATTAATATTTTTGCGTGAATAGTAAATTCGCACGTGGGGCCCGCACCGGGAGCGGGGGCCGCCCGATATTCCCGAGACCGTATATTTTATTCATCTTGGTCAATATAATATTTATATAGTGGTGGATAATTTATTTGGTCCAAAGAAATGATATAGAGTTGACCGGTTGATCAAAAAGGCCAAAATACCGGTACTGGTAATCTAACAGATAAAAGCCAGAAATGAATTTCGGGAACTTATAAATTAAATTTGGGGATGTATATTCATTATAAGGGTCATAA